CCCCAAAACCCCAAAACCCCAAAACCCCAAAACCCCGTATTTTTAAGGGGAAGTTGAACAAGTTATTTAATATTTAATAAGTGCTGATTAGATGGACTGTTTTTATGATGATTGTGAAGAGAAAGCGTGGTTTTTTATACCTAGTAGAGGGATTTGAGTCTGAGGTTGGCATAGAGAATCTGAATTTGCAGAGGAAGAGATTGAAGATATTGGGAGTAGCCGAGTTCTCCCTTACCTTTACTATATTTCTCACATAGTAACCCATTGCAGCTTCTCTAGAAGATCGGACTATTTGCATGGGCTTAATTCGCTGCAGTCTTCTGTTCAGGAGGCGCTTGATAGCCAAGACTATCAGAAGTGGATGGTAATTGAAGAAAGCCTTCAGGATATATTTAAGAGTTTATGAGAGGAACAAGAGATCCAACAATTTTTAAAGGAAAATGGAGCTATCATAAGAGATGCAAAATATTGACAAGGAATTGATCTTCCACAGTTGTACGACTCTATAACCCACTCATCCCACTCCAGCGTAGAAGAACAAAAAGAGCCTCCTCCAACAACCCCAAAATCCTCTCTTCATCTATTCCACCCAATTTCGCACCTCGACGTCCCAGACCCCCAACAAGATGACGAAATCCTCCAAGATCACCACTTGTCATCTGCCCAGGACACAAATAATTTTCCTTTAATCCCCTCTGAACTTAACACCATGGAGCTTAAGGAGATCCTTCCTCCCAAAGAAAGTGGCTATAGGCCTGAAGGCAGAGACGGTAGCCCAATGTATGAAGGTAGGATGCATGGGGTTGAGTATGAAGAGGAGGAAGATGAGGATAGGGGGGTGTCTGTGGATATGAAAGCGTCGGGAGATAGCTCTCAAGGTAAGAACTTTGATGATAGGGTTGTTTTGTGTTCTGGGTTTTTAGAGTTTTGTTTGATCTTTAATGCTTGTGTGGACAAGAGGATATCCTTGCGTACTAAGCATATCTTAAATCAGCCTGTTATTTATTTTGTTACAAATTTCAAGTATTTTTAGCCAAAACAGATTTTGAAAAAAATCTGAAATTTTCTGTAAAAAATTAAGAGAATACATCGGATTGGCTATAATTTAAAAATATTAGAGTAATTGTCTTGAAAAGAAATATGGAAAAGAACTTCAGCAACCATTGAATTAGTATACTCCCGAATTAAGAGCTTTTACATATAAGTCTCATGAAGTAGACTTTTACTCTATTTTTCTGACCTTTTCGTATTTTTCGATAGCATTGAATAATTAAATCTTGAAATATATGCAGTCAACTTTTTTATCCATGAAAGCTTATTTTGTGTTAAATTATTAACTGTTTAGCTCAAACTTGCTTCTACAAAGCTAATCGATCAATATCTGATCAAATTATGGCTCCAGAAAGTCTCCACTCATACGACCAAAGAATGCCCGTACTTCAGAAGGCTACAGATAGTTCTGTAGAATTCTTAGCTGACGATCTCAATGAAGATTACTTTGGCTTTCGTGATATCTTTGAAAATGATTTATATAAGTCAGGGTTGGAATATCTCAAATAAAAATTGAAATTTTAGGACAGAGTTTCGACATCGTCGATATTTGTCTGATATTTTGATGCCTAAAATAAATAACATCATCAGTATGTCTACTTATGATAATTATAAATTTCTTTGGAAGATGAAAGGGAAGTACCTAATAAATCTATGTGACTCAAAATATGGAGAAGTTGAAAACTCTTTCGATCTTGACCTTGACTTGACTGTTGGTTGTCACTATGCCTTTCTCACAGAAATCCCAGAAAGATTCGAAGGTGTCAACTCTATCAGTCTTTTTAATGTTCCTAATGAAGATGAAAGCGTTAAAAGATACTTAACAGATTACTTCCCTTACAATCTAAAATAAGTTCATCTTCACACGGAAACTATTTAATTCATCCACTCCAGAAACTAGTGAAAATTATTTCGACCAACACGGTTACATCTTCTATGAGAAAGAACTTTTATTAGCCTGAAGTCAAACTCTGCATGAAGTCGGAATTCAAGGCTATATTTTGACACAAGCCCAGTTTGCCACCTTGATGCATGGATTAAGAGATAAGACAGTTGTACAGATAAATTTATGCAAGATTGGCATTGACTCTAAGAAAAGCCTTAACCTGGATCTTAATGGATGAAAAATTAAGATTTTAAGGCTTTTGTTATGTGGAAATACAAAGCTTAGCAATTGGACGGATTATCCTGGTAGATTCGAAACAATTATTAAAGCTCTTTCCAAATGAAAAGATTTTAAGAAGAACAATCCGGTCATTGAAATAGCACAATCTGACATTTTAGAAGATACAGCTATAGAAATAGCTTTACTATATGGATTTTCAAAGAAAAATTTGAGAATTTACGACACACCATCAAATATCTAACCAACATTCAATATTTAAGCGTCCATAAGGGGTTTTGGGGTTTTGGGGTTTTGGGG